TGTGTGTGTGTGTGTGTGTGTGTGTGTGTGTGTGATGAATCAATTGACACCTCCAGCTGTGAACACCTGTTCTGATCTGTCCAGGAAGGGATTGTAAAAAAGATAGCAAAAGTTCTATCTGTTCAATCATCTTCGTAAGATATTTGCATATTTAGATAAGAATGCAACAAAATTTGGTGAGAATTACATTGGAATGGTGATGTTGAATTGACAAATCATAATAAAAAATTTGTGTATTTCAGATGACAAAATTTTCATGAATTATCCATCAGAATTATTTCACTAACATAGTATGTCAAAGTATCATATTTCATAAGGTTGCATAAATATTTAGACCGGAATTAATTTGAAAGAAAATTTATCTAATATTTAAAATTGATTTTCCAGATATGATTAATTTCATATTTAAAATTTTGGAAAAATTCAATTTTATATATCAATTTTTTGAATTTGCATATATTAATTTATAAAAGCTAACGAAAAATAAAAGTATGCTAAGGACTTCCTTTCAACAAAAAAAAATAATTTTAATGATTTCTTGAAAAAAATTTTCTTTCGATCGATTACAAATGATTTTAGAAATGTTAAGAAGAAATGTCATTTGCTAAAATAATATTCACAATCTAAACTTTTCGTTCAAATTCTCAAGATTGAAATTTTTCAATGCGGTTAGAGCAAAAAAAGAAAATCAATTTTCGCTATTTTTAAAGGTTCAATGGAAAGAATTTGAATTTTTATTCAATTTTCTCTTTATTATTTCTGTTTAAAATTTTACCTATAGAAATTGAATTGTCATTTCAGTGGAATAGTTTGCAATGACTGAACTAAAATTGTAAATTTCAATAAAAATCTCGCAACACAAAGATGAATTGATTGAATTTTATGAGGCAAAATGTGCTTTTTATATGATACGAAAGGACTGCTCAGCTGAAAAATAACTATTAAGATTGAAGAATCCTATCAGATGGTTTGCAAATGATGCCTTTCTCGATATTTAATTAGTTTGACTAATTAACGCAGACTGGCTTTTTAAAGGATATTCTTATTATGAATGCAAAAATCAAAGACTAAACTATTTCTCATTTTCCTTTCTCATATGATAATGAGAAACAGAAGCTGGAAAATTTAATCATTGAATGTCAATATTTAAATTAAAATTAAATATCAAAATTTTGATCAAACTTTTCATAATATTTTGTGATATCCAAAATAAACATATAAATTACCACGGCAAAATCGATCGTAGCATAATATGGCACTGAGTAAAATAGTGGTACAAAAGATTGGATAGTAGTAGTTAAATGATTGCTAACCTTTGAATAGACCGCTAATCTGTACAGCTGCTTGATGCGACATTTCGAATTCATAATTTAGCGGCTTGATAAGCTCTATTAATCCATTACCATGTATTTTAAGATAATCCGTTGTTGCCGGTGCAAAGATAACCTTTTCATCGGGACGAAGGTTTATTTTCTGAACAATGATTAAATATCAATTATTGAAGTAAGAAACTTTCAATCCAATGCAATTACACGATTTATTAAGCAATCAGTAATTTCTTCAAATTTTGCAATAAATTTTTAAACGAATTTATTATTCGTTTAAATTTATATTTTAATCTCAATAATTCAAGCCTATAATTTTAAATGAATCTCAATATATCTTCTCAAAATTAAATTTACTATCTTATCAAATTTATTAAATTGGAACAAAAGAATGTAACCTCTTCTAGTAATCCAATTGGATGATTTTCTTTCAATGTTAGCACAATTTCATCGTTAAAATCTCGCCTACTTCGCCGATGGCGTGAATTTTTAGTTTTGAGTTTTTTGAATTGCCTTTTCGGATCTATCGGTGGACCAACCAAAATCCGAACATTAGCACGAGATTCCTTCAAATCAACACTCTTTCTTCATTTAAATCACTGTATCGATTTGTCCATCATCATTCAAAACTCTTATTAAGGTACAAATTAAAAATGCTAAAAAAATTAGAAATTTTGAAATTGTGAAAAATTTGTGAAATATTAACATATTCAAATTCGTACTTAACCTCTCACTGTAAGCCAATAAATTAAGCATCAAACAAGTAAATATGTACTTAATATGTACTTAAAATTAACAATTTCTATAATTTCTATAACAAATGTGTACTTAAAATTAAAATTTCTATAATAAAAAATTTGAACATAATCATTTCACATCATTGACCTGTGCAAATGAATTAGTAGCAACAACATCAAAGAGATATCTTCCATTCGGTATACTGTAACGGCTAAATATATCACCGGAAAATGGTGTAACATCGAATGGAGCATCTTCCGGCTCAATTCGATATACAACAGCTCCTTTCGAAGTCCTTTAAAAAAAATTTTTGTTTTTCTGAAATTCGTAAATTAATTTAAATTAAATATAATCCTATCGGATATATATTTTTCCAAACTAGCTCATTTATTTCGTATTCCAGTAGATCAGCGATAGATTAATTTTTTTGCTTTTTTGCTTTTTTTTTTAGCAACAACTGTTACCAATATCATTTCCCCTTAATGACCTATCATCATCAATAGGTCATTGAGTTTGCTAATTTGATATCTAAATCATTTCCTGTAATTTGAGGAATACAAACATTCTTTTATACTTTCAAGTTGAAAATAATATAAAATAAAATGGGTCATTTCGCCGTTTACCAGCTTATCCATTGTCCTTTTTTTCTTCCCCTTATGAACTTTGATAATCAAATATGCAGAAATGATTTCTGATTATTTTTGATTCGATAGCACCTGCACCAAATACTTACTTTAACTAGAAGAATTTTTTAGTTCATAAGTAGGATTGTAAAAAAATTTTGTACGAAATTATTAAAAATTAAATGATGACTTGAAAGTTTTTTTTTAATTTCCTTTTAATCTGTTTACATGAGTACTCTTAAAATATTCACATTCCATAGTTAATCTTTTTTTTTTTATTTGAAAAATGTATTACTCAAACAATGAGTTAATTGAGAATCATTGTTGAAGAAAAAATAAAATTATCTAATTTTATGGTTGGAACAAGCACGTTACCGCATGCCATCCATTTCAGACAACTCATGCAAAATAAATTAATTATGACATAATGATTTTCATTTTCCACATAGAATTTTATTACTTATTCCA